GAACCCCAGGCCTGGCCCCTGGCCCCACCTGCCTGTCCAACCTCCTGTGGATTCTCAGAGGCCACAGAACACATGCTGCATGCCCTCCCACCGTCCTGTACAGAGGTTCTACCCTGAGGGCCTGCCCTCCCCAAACCCAAGACCCTGCTGCTGGTTTCTTCCATGAAATGCCCCCAAGGAGCTCAGTCCTCTGGACCCTGTTCCTTCCACGGGACAGCTAGAGAGCCCACTCCTCAAGGCTAGCCCCGTGGCTCTCCCCGGCAGGGACCCAGGGTATCTGCTGAGTGATGGCCACGCACAGAGGCACGGGGCCTGCGTCCTGGACAGGCAGGAACAGAGAGATTAACCAAGGCCTGTGGGTTAACATATAAACTAAACAAGCTGTGAAATACCCTCAAGACGCACTCCATCCACGACTGGACGTAAGCCGCTCCTTCGAAGACATGCTGGGCCTTAAGTCTTGTCAGACACGGGGCTGGGCCTCCCACCACATCATGGTGGCATCTGGGGTCCAAGGGTCCCCGACGCACAGCCGTGCCCACATCGCTGGCCAACTCCCTCCGAGTCTTTGGAATTGGAATATTTGACTTGTACAGACGTCTGATAAAACCGAGATTCCTTCCGCTCCGACCTGGGAAGCTGTTGGGTACTGAGCTTCCCGCCGACCCTACCGGCCTGCAGAGACAGGTGCGTGGGGGACTCCACAGCGCGACAGTGGACACAGTGGACACAGTGGACGTTAGACGGGACTGTATCGTCAGGGTCTGATCTCGCTTTAAACTACTTGGTGAGGGTAAGAAATCCTGCAAGGAGGCCTGAGGTCTCCAGGCCAACGAGGATGTCTGGTCAGCCCCGGTTTCCCTGGAAACCACAACTCTCCCGGCGTTCCCACCTTTGGGGAAATTTCCATAAGGTTCTCCGACTCTCGGGGATACTCTCTCCCCAAGGATGGAGAGAGGTCGCGACTTGAAAGCAGTTGAAAACACAGCCACGCAGACTCCAGCCTCCTTCTGGAAACAGAATGCTCTGTCAGCAGAAGGACCCCAGCTGCCTCCCTGGGCCACACTCGACCCTCAAATGCGGTCAGACCAAGGAACAGAGTGGCCAACACTCAGGGCCAAGGCTGAGGGCAGAGGCTCCACCTGCCCCCCGGGAGGCCCACCGGCAGCAGACAAGCAAGAGGGGACAGCAGGTGGCCTGTGCAAGCCAAGAGTGTGACCCCACTTGGGTTAGCCAAGGTCCCCCCGCAAGGGACCGCAGCAGGCCCCAAGGCCCTGGACCCCAGCCTGCTGCGGCGTAGCAGGAGACCACGCCAGGCGCAGCAGCCCCTAGCATAGACCCCAAAGCAGGTGCCGTCTGAGGACAGAGAGGGCTTGGTGGCCCAGCCCAAGAGAAAACAACGCACAAAAAGTGAGCCGCACGTTGAGCCCAGCCTCCACAAGCTCAGCCATCCTCAGCATTTGCCACCCGGCCCATTTTAAAACCCAGTTTCATCCTGACAACTCAAAGTGGCTTTCAGATGTTGGAAAGGTCAAGCAATCTGCACCCCAAAACTCTCATCTCCAAGGCGGAGATTCCTTTCAGCTTGAGTGGGACAGCTCTGGAGCTGACTCAACCTTGCCCGGCTTCAGTTTCCAATGAAAACAGGCCTCTCTCAGGCTCCTGGAGATACATCTGAGACCAGCACACAACAGGCACATTCCCACCTTCAGCCACAGAGAAACCACGCGGAGGGATCCTCTTGAAGGAGTAACTGTCCGGCTCCCCTCAAGCGTGGGGGTCACACCCGATCCAGGCTCCCAAAGGATCCTCCGTGGACTTGCCCAGAGCAGGCCTGCAAGCCCCACCTGCCTGGACCACATCCCTGCCAGGGCGGCCTAGGCTCACATGCCCTCCGAGAAACTCATGAAAACTCTAGATCTTATACACAGAAGACCCTCCTACACACAGACGCCCCCACTCTCCGGGTGCACAGACCCTCAAGCCTGAGACTCTGGCCCGAGGTGTGGGGGGCAGGCAGTGGGGAGGAGGGTCTGCAGGGCTGCCTAGAGCTGAGTTGGACCCCTCCCCACCCCACACGGCCCAGCTCCTCAATGCAGGGCCCCACCCAGTGCTGACAACATGGGTGTGTGCCCTCCCACCCAGGGCCCCAGCCGCCCCCTGGATCCATGTGCAGCCTGGGCTCCCCACCCAAATTGGGGTGAACCATTACCTAGGACAGGGTCTGCCCACCCAGGCAGAGCAAGGGACCCTCCAGGGGCCTCAACGCTGGGAGGGGCGGGTCCAAGCTGTTTCTGCCCAGGCAGCCCCACACTTTGGCAAGCGTAGGATCCCTCCTGACTCAGGGGAGGCTCCTGTCTCCAGATGCTCACACCAGGAAGGAGTGACGGCCGTGGTAGGAGTTCGGAGAAAGCCCCTTCCAGAGGGTGGACGGGGAACCACAAGGCAGCCGCCTCCCTCCCTGCCTGAGAGCCACTGCCCCCCAGGATCCACTGGGGCACCCATCCATCTCCCAGAAGCCAGACTTTGGTGGCAAAAGCAGCAGAACGGTGGCCTAGGAGGGCTCAGTGCTGCCCTAGCCCTGAGGACCCCCTTCCAGCCAAGGCAGATGGAGAAGGCCTGGTCCCTGCCCTCCACAGGCTTCCTCAGGCCCAGGGAGGCCCAGCGCCAGACAGGGAAGAGGGCCTTGAAGTTGGTTTGGTTAATGAATCCAGCAAACTAGACGATGCACAGACACGAGCCAGTCCACACTGGGCAAGGGGATCCTAGGGTTGCCACATTCTCAGGCGGAAGACAAGCAGCAGGGCAGTGAAGGTGTCCTGATTTGGGGTGGGGCATCGGGACAGTGGAGAATTCCATGCCCTGGGGGATGGGTGATGAGCAACACTGGCAGCAGACGTGTAACTGTTCGGTGGGAGTCCAGTGGGCCTGCCCTGGGAGAGCGGCTACCCCACACGGCCCAACTCCACAAGGCCTGGGGGCAAGGAGCAGCTGTGCCCACTCTCCTGAGCAAAGACTGGGGCCTGCAGATTCTGAGACTAGACTTCACTGCCCTCCTGCCTCCTCCACTCCCCAGGAAGGGTCCCCCTGCCAGTGAGCTGGGGCAAGGGAGCTCAAGGCAGCCCGTGCCCTCAGTGTGGAAGCCGGGAAGGGGCTGAGCAGGCCGGAGGGCCCCCACCTGCTACAAGCCTGCCTGTCCTGGCTCACGGACATACGGACACACGGACACACGCGCACACACACATGGGAGCAGCAACCTGACCCAGCCTTCCCTCCCGAGCTGTGTCCCTTTCCGGATGCTGCAGCTCCAAGGAGGCGGGAGGCACAGAGGGGCTGGCCACTTCAGGCCCAGGCAGGAGAAGCCACTCGGGGCTGGAGACGGGGCCACATGACGGGGACCCTAGGATGTCCTGCCAGCCAGGGACATGTGGGGCCAAAGCACAGCAGACCTTCTAGCAGCCATACCCAGGCCAGAGAGGGGCACCTGGCTGCTGTGGGGTGTGGGGTGGGCTCTGACCGCATACCAGAGGTCGGGGCGGGACCTGGATGACCAGAGCTGGTCCCAGCAGGAGGGGAGAGAGGTGGTGACAGGAGGGCAATTGGTGAGGAGACACAGGGCTCTTCCAAGGATGAACATCACGCCTGAGCCCACCTACATGGGAAGGGGGCGAGTCGCCCCACTGGGGCTGGGGCAGGGGGGATGCTCATGGTGCTAGGGAAGGCCCTGCCTCCCACGGTGGCTAAGTTTTGGGGCTGGAGACAGTGTCCAAGTCACCTGCCAGGGCTGTGGTCTCCCCCCAGGACACCCTCCCCTCCAGCAGCTGGGCATTTCCCCCCTGGGGTCTTCTCCCCCATCCCATGGAGGGTCTGTCCAGAGCACACACTCACAGGTCCACAGGCACACACCCCCTCATCCCAGGGGGGCACAGGGTTGGAGATGGTTTCCCAGAATCCGTTCCTCACTCCCATCCCAAAATGCCTCTTTCATACAAAATGGCCGAGTCCGGGCCCAATCTAGCTGGGATGGGAGGGAGAGTGCCTGCCATGTACAGGCCGCATGAGCAGCAACTCCTGCCCCAACACGGCCCCCACCAACATTCAGGTGCACACAATGCCGGCCTGAGGCCACTGCAGCTGCCCAGGGGGCCAGGAGCTCCCTGCACAGGGCCAGGGCTGGCCAGCTCAGGACCCTCTGGGCATCCATCCACCAAGGAGGGGTTCCAGAGCCCAGGATGTGCACAGTGCCTGAGGCATATCCCTGCTGCTCCAGCTCGCACAGCAGAGGGGTCAGGGCTGGGCTGGGTGGAGGGGAGACTGGGGGATGCAGGCTGGGCCGGGGAGGAGCGCAGGCAGGTGGGCAAGACAGGCAACAAGCCCGAGCCCTGGGCTGGGGGAGGGAAGTAATACTAGTAGAACACCCCCCCACCCCCATTTCAGCAACCCAGAAGCTCGCCCTAGGTGGAGAGTGAGCGGCTTGGGGGTTGAGGCCGGGTAAGCTAGCCCCGCCCCCACCCCTTGCCCCCTTCCTGGGGGGAGCCCAGCCCAGAAGGGGGCCTCGAGGGGTCCAGATGCAGTGGCAGGACTGGCAGCGCCACCCTCCCTCCCGGCTGGCCCTTTGTTCAGCGCAGCGTCCGTGGGGAGGGGCCTCAGGCCGAGGAGGGGAGGCTGGGGCGCCGCACATCCCCCCATCCTGCGGGGGAGGGGCTGATGCAACCCGACCAGGCCGCTGCTGGTAGGGGAATGGCGCCCCCACCCCGGCCTGGACGCCCGGACCCCAGAACTCCTTCCGATCCGCACGCGCATCTCAGCCCTTTGCTTTAGCCAGGGAACACCGTCCGCCAGGCTCAGACCCGGGCGCCAGCCTAACCGACGCGGGCTCTCGGGCGCACAGGGACCCTCGCCGCCCGCAGCCGCGCGCCGGGGGCCGCCAGCGCCGACTGCCCCGGCCGTGCCCCGCAGCCCCTGCGCCCCCCGCGCGGCCGCCGGCGGTGGGCACTCACACGTAGGCGTGGTAGATGAACGCCCAGCCGCGCGGCCGCTCTAGCACATTGTACAGGAAATTCTGCAGCTTGCGGTAGAAGGCGTTGCGCTTGGGGGGCTTCCCGGAGCCCGCGCCTCCCGCGCGCGGTTTGCTCAGGATGCTGCCGCGCTTGGGGGCCTCGGAGCCGGCGATGAGCAGGGCGCCGTCCCGGGTGGAGTCGGGCGCTCCGGGGTCCAACCCCACGAAGCCCACCTTGAGCTTCTTCTCCCCGCTCGGGCCGGGGTACACGCCGCCGTTGCGCGACTTCTGCACCATGGTGCCGGGCGGCGCCCCGGCGGGCGCGGGCTCAGCGGGCGAGGCGCGCAGGGGGCGGCGCGGGCCCGAGCCCAGGCCCCCGGCCCGGGAGCCGCATGGCCAAGGCGGCAGCGGCGGCGGCTCCGCGCTCCTGCGGCCCGGGCCGCGCGCGGGGACGCTGCGGCCACCTGGCTCCGCCCGCCGCCTCGCCCCGCCCCCGTTAACCCCTGCGACGCCGCCGCGCGGGCCGCGGGAGGGGAGGGGAGGGGAGGGGACCCGGGAGACAGCAGATGAGGACCCGACTGACTATTCCGGGCGTCTGGCCATCTGGGCCGGGCGGGCCCCGCTCCCCGCGGCCCCATGTGCCCTAACCAGGGAATCCGGCCGCTTGGTCATCCCCTGGTCAGGTAAGAGCACTGCCTGAGCGGTCCCCAGCTCTCCCTTGGATCCCAAAGCCCTGCCAGCGCCTGGCCCCAGCTGGATTCCTACCAGCTGGACCCCTGGACTGGACGCCTAGAAGCAGAACGGAGGGATGGGCACCGGCCCTTTGCTAGACCTTCCGCTAAGGCTCAGCCCACTAGGACCTTAATGCGTTGGCCTCTAAGTGGGCCAGGTATGAGCACCTCCTAGACCCTGGTCCCCTGACTGTAGAGGGAGGCATCTGGGGAGACTTCCTAAGAGGTGGCCTGAACTGGACCTGGGAGGAGTCCTGGATGGGAGGAGCAGGAGAAAGGGAGGGTTTGCAGAGGCCTCTGCAGCAGGGAAAGGGGCAGAGGTGGCCAGAGGTGAGACCGGAAAGACTCACCCCAAGGGGCCTGGACTTTCTTTTGCAGACCCCCGAAAGGACCTGGGAGTGTGGGCCCCAGGGCAAGACAAAGGCCTGAGGCCAGGGGGGACACCAGTGCCATAGTCCAGGACCGAGGAGGGAGGGAGGAGGCAGGTTCTGGACAGAGATGGCAGGCTGTCCTCTTGACGGGGAGTAGGCAGAGGTTGCCTCCCCTAGCCAGGGAGCCATGGTTGGGGGGGTGCCCTTCTGGAACCTTCTTCTGGGAAGCCAAAGGACCCATTCCCCAGCCACCGAGAGGCCCCTGTGCACTCCACACTGACCATCCACCATGCCCCTACTTGCTGAAGCCTCCCTCTGCACACCTTGGATGGTGCGGGCTGCAGGTGCCTCTCCTGACCACATCCAGCCTCTTCCCGCCCTTGCCCAGCACTGTGGGGTCCACGAAGGTAGGCCCTGTTTAGTAGCTGGCACTGTCCTCACCAGTAACTTGGTTCATAAAACAGCACTCTCCGTGGCACCAGATCAGCTGTGTGGTTTGCCCTTTCAGTTCCCAAGCTGGAGGCCATATGGCCTTTTCTTCCATATCCAACAGAAAACAGAATGGTCTAATTTGAAAGTCATCTAGAATGTTGGGGATGGAGTGCCAGGTATGGCCCACATACACCTGTGCACACAGGTACGGCGCAGGGGCCACGCTCGTGACTCCCACTGCCCTGCCTCAGTGCCTGGTCCTTAGCTACCCAGCATTCAGCCAATGTGCCCCCAAAGGGCTGCAGTTTTCTCGAGTGTGTGCACCACCGCTGAGCCAAGCTGAGGAAGGGGCAGCCCACCTGGTCAGTTCAAGGGGAGGGGCATGACCACCTACATCACAAAAAGAGAGAGGCTACCCATGCTGGCTCTCTCCACTCATTGGCCTCTGAGCAGCCCTCGTGATCCCTCGTCCTGTTAAGAGGGAGCCCCAGACTATGGGGTGCCACCAAAGCTGGGCATGGCCCCTCCTGGGGGAGCCCCTTCTCAGGGCTTGATGTGAGAGTGGAGTGGGCCTGTGGGTAGGGTTGGTTTACAGAGGGAGGAGGAGCAATTCCCAGGTATCATTTTTGCACACATATGAGCCCTGAGATGGGAGCAACGTCCAGGCTCTCTGGCATTCCGAGACATCAAGGAGAGGCTGGTTGCCTTCAGTCTCCTGGGGGAGACCCCTCCCGCGGGAACACCGCTGGCCAGGGAGGAGGGGAGCCTGCTAGGGATGCAGGTACAGCTTTGCATCCCCAAGCCCTCTGTTCTCTTGTCTCAAACAGCAGACCCCAGAAAGGTCTGACACATCTCCCAGAGGTTCTGGCAGATGACTCCCATACCAAGGCTTGAAAATCTTGGTTTCCTCTGTTTAGGATGTATGTCCTTTCAGTGCACTGGCTCACTGAACGTGTATGATTTCAATTTTGTGCCACGCACACCACTGCCCTATTGTCAGCAACCTGGTCAACAGTGCCCTCCACCCCTGCAACCCAGAGAAGCAGTTCATTGAAAATGCTCAGTTGGGGTGAATTCCATGCAAGAGACAGGAATTTCATTTATTTAAAAATAGATGGGAAAGCTTTCAGGCTCAAGCCATCTTTGCCAAGACTGAACTGACGGGATCCAGAAAAGAGGAGTGGAAAAATCCAGACGCACACAGCACCCCTCTCCAGTCTGGGGAGACCCTTTCCCCTGGACGCGGGGCTGACCAGCTGGGTGCTGTCCTTTCAGCACTGGCCACTCTCCCCAGAGCCCCCAGGCCCAGCACGCTGCTCCTGGCCTCTCCTCTTGGTTCCTCCTTCCACCCCCGCATCAATGGCTGCACTAAGCAGCCGAGATCGGACTATTGAGCTGAGAAACTAGCCTGGCCACTGTTGCTGTCTCACGCAAGGCCAACTCAGAGCTCTCACAGAGCCCCCCAAAGTGCTCCTGCATCTTTCCTTCCCATCAGGGAACTCACCACACAGGGCTAGGACCCACTGCCCCGCCTGGCTCCCCTGTCCACTGTCGTGTCCCCTGGAGCCTGGCACACGATCCACAGTGTGTGGTCAGAAGATACCACAGCTGCTGGTGGTGGATTGCAAATTGCAGCACATTTGGATTTTTCCCTCTTGCCACAGAGGTACAGGGCCGAGAGTGGGCTGGGCCTTTCCTGGGATGCAGCCCTGGGGGGTCATGACCCTAGTCTCACAGACAACATAGAATGGTGGGTCCCACAGGGAAGATACCAGGATGCATGGCAAGTGCGCCCAGAAGAAACGGGTTTCCGCTGGCTGCTTGCCCTGGCTGAGGGACGCCAGCAGTGACACTGCCTTGGCCATTCCCAGGCAGGGGTGGGGGTAGCTCTGACACCTGCTTACAGAGCCTGCCTCGTGCAGCCCTGGCCAGACATTGTGTGGACATCCTGCTGTCACATAGAAGTTATTGACGTCCAGGTGTTCAGCCACACTCGAGTTCCCTGGGCCAGTGACCATGGGGACACTGAGGGGCGACACTGAAAACCAAACCTTCCTGTTTCACCAGCACCCACCTCCTCCCTGCAGAAAATGAGCAAGCTCTTTCCCCAATCATGATGGCCTCAGGAAAACAGATGACCCTGGCGGAGGCCAGAGGGAACATTCCACCAGCCTGAGAAATAAGACTTCATTTGGGGAAATGAGAAGAGACAAACTCTCAATCCCCTAACCTGGGTCAGGGCTGTTGTTGTCTTAATTTTGTAATTTGGACAACAGGAAGTGCCTACCCAGACAAAAAGTCCTAACCCTCCCCTCCAGGGAATTTTCCGTTATTAGGAGGAGGAAGGGCTGAATTTATCCAGTTCATGGGGGAGCAAGGCTGTAAGGAAAAGATTTAATATGAAAGCATTGATTTTTTTTAAACATCTTATACTAAAGTCAATAAAAATTTAATTTATAGTTTTTTTTCAAGGATTAGAGCTCTGAACAAGCTTCCCCAGCCCCCGGCAAACCAACCAATCACATAAAGGAGCTGATGGGTATTTATCAGCTACAGATAATACCTTGGCACTAGGAGTCCATGGCTGCCCATGAGGTGGAGATGGGCTGCAGAGAACCCGTGGTCCTGGATGCATCCAGGAGGGTGGAAGCCAACGTGTAGATTCTGGGCCTTGGAGGGAACCCCCTGCTCGGCCTCTGCCACTGCCACCCACATCCCCTGCACCCCACTGTCCAGCCTCTAGGAACACGCAAGGGCGGTGTTTGGGAGGTTGTGCATTTAGAAGGCACCCCCGACTCCCCTCTCCACACCTCTGGGCAAAAGAAAAACCTATGACAACTGCCCCTGTTCTGTGGCAGATAAAATGCAAGGGACAGACAGGTCCACGCTCATGCACTGGGATGGCAGGTGTGACCCAGGCCCCTCTGAGGGTCTGTACCCGTCAACGCCCCTGTGGCACTTTGACAATATCCCGATGCTTTCTTCACCTCTGTAATCCAGCCCTGCAGCTCTCAGACCACCCCACCTGTGCACCCCCACTGCTCCGCCCCAACGCCCCCCACCCCTCACCTCCCATCCCCCCACCCCAGGCACATGACAGCCTCAGGGACCCTCAAGCCAGCGAAGGATTCTCTGTGTGTACTGTTTCCTGTGCCAGGAATTCTGTTCCCTCCACTAGCACACGGTCTCTGTGCGTCTTCTCAGAGAGGCCAGGCTTACGGGTCTTCCCTGAAGTGGATGCCTGCCCCCCTTCTCAGTCCTGGTTCCACAGTGAGTTCTGAAACTGTTGTGTGTTTGCTTGCCTCCTGTTCATCCCTCCACTGGACAGGCGGTGCAGACACTCAGCCCCGTGCACACACTCACAGCCCCATGCACACACTCACACCCTCGTGCACACACCCTCAGCCCCGTGCACACACTCTCAGCCCCGTGCACACACTCACAGCCCTGTGCACACACTCACACCCTCGTGCACACACCCTCAGCCCTGTGCACACACCCTCAGCCCTGTGCACACACTTACAGCCCCATGCACACACTCACACCCTTGTGCACACACTCACACCCTCGTGCACACACTCACACCCTTGCACACTCACAGCCCCAGACCAGCCCACAGAGCTGCTCTTCAACATTCCTTGAATGACAGTCACTTTGTTCTAGGACTAGATATCGCTTGGAGCCTCCACCAGGATGTGCCCTCGATGACCGGTCTGGGGCTTGTGGGGCTCAGGGGTTGCAGGGGCAGTCCATGGGAGGGCATGGGCAGCTGGAACTCAGTGCCACGGAG